TTTTGCAGTATTTTATATCCAGACAGGCAATGTCTACGCTGTCAAATAGTCTTGGTTAAAAAAAAAATAATTCAGAAGTTTGAAATTACTCTTTAATATTCATATTTAAATTCTGATTTCTTCTGAGATTGCCAAAAGGAACACAGTCCGTGCAGCAGGCACTGAATCAAACACTGGCATTTAAATCTGCTGCAGCAAAGTAGTTTGCTCCAAATAATTTCTGCAGAAAGTCAAAAAAATACACCAGTTCAAGCATAAACTCTGAGCAATCATGTTCCTTCCTGCCTGCTTTTCAGAAATTTCAGACCCTTGAACAGTTTCTTGGCCTTTTTCATAAACATGGTAACATCTACTCACCTAACTCTCATGTATGGACAAGCTGTGTCAGCCCAAGAACTGCACGAAGCTTCCAATAACAGGAATGGGTAATTTGAGAGATTTCACCAGGCCCATTCCCTGTTTCCCTTACACTGCAGGGATTTCACTGGAGCTATCCATGGTTCAGGACAGGAGATTTGGAATTCTGAACTTTCTGTTGCTGCTGAGTCCTAGAAAGAGCAAATCCCAGTTCACCCAGAAAGGGAAACCCAGAACTTCCCACTACACACTCCCATTGAGCCTTCCTTACCTGTTTCCATAGCATTTATTAAATCAGGTATGTCCTAGGAAAAGACACAACCCTGCAGCTGGGCCCACCTGCACTGCTGCTTATGGAGCCTGAATTAGACTGCATGCACACCAAATTAAATCCCAGACCCAGCTGGGCCAACAGCAGTTTGGCCATTGTTTTTTTTTTATGCATTTAGCTTCGACCCACACTCCACAAGGCTGCAGTAAGCTCCAGAGAACCACTGTGACATGTTTTTCCTGTCTTTTCACAGTACAAGGTGCGGATGTCAGAAAGGGCACAGCAGATCTCTGGCAATTTGGAAGGGCAGGGCTAATCCCTTGCCAGGCAGTTCAGAGGGTGTTGGTGGGAAAGCAGACCCCAGCCATCCTTACTGAGAAGTTTCTTGTCCAGCCATGCCTGCTACACGTTAATAGCAGCTCCAACTGCAGAAAATTTCCCTAATTAACCAGCTAAGTTCCATGACATGCTCCCTGATAGTCAGGTGACAACCTCTAAGCATTAACAGCTCAGCACACACCTACTGAACACCTCTGGGCTAGTCCTTTTGCTCTTACAGATCAACATGAATGAATGGACTTCTCTCTTCAGAAAAACAATAATCTGACTGTTTATAACAACTGAATGGTGGCCAGAAAGGAAACTCACAGATTTTATTATTCCCAATGGAGTCATATGGCATGGAACATATTTTTTAAATAGCTTTATTCCCACTAATTTTACTTCTATACCAGCATTTCCTTGAAATTATCCAATTTGGCTATTCTTGTTCAGGGACAATTGGGAATGACAGGATGGGATATTACTGAGGGGAAGGGAACATGTGCAGTTCCAGGACCTTGTCCCCACCATGGGATGTGGGAATGAGTGCTGCACTACCTGGTGGTGATGGAAGAGCTGAAATCCCTTCCTCCACACTGGGAAACCTGGTCCTGCATGCCACTTTCATGATGCCCTAAACCAGGGTACATGTCCCAAAGATGCAGAAAGCATTATATTCTTTGTTCTGCTCTCCACTTGTCTATTACTAGAATAGCAAATGTTCTTATCTCCCTGAGTGCTGTGACCCACACAGTCCCTCCAGGAGCAAGATGTCAGTACAAACACAGAGAAAGGAGTTGGGATGTATTCAGCTGAGGAATGTGTGCTCAGAGCTGAGTTTCATCCTTGGATGCTGGAGCAGGCAGCTGATGAACCCTCTGAGCCAGGCAGAGTTATTGAGACCAGAAAGCATAAAATGCTCCCTGGGTTAAAAACAGGGAGAAAGGAAGGGCCTGGGGATTATCCCCTCTGTCTCTTCTGGCAAATACTACCACATAGCAACAGTTTAGGTAGCTGGAGACTCAATTCAGAAATGCACTCTTGATCTGAAGTAAAACATTGATACAGATGCATTTGAACCATTAGTCAAACACTTGATCCTGGGGAGAAAAAAAAGATGGAGTAAATAATCAAGAAATTTTGGTGAGCACATAAAATAAATTAATAGCCAATAAAAATTTACAGAGAATGAGTCAAACCAATATAACTTCAACCTACAAACCCAGACCTGTGGCTAGGAAGAGATGGACTATATGCCCTCTGCCATAAGTGACTCTCCATAGCTTTCACATAAATAAACTACAGGACTGTGGTTTCCACAAAATGATTTAAATTTGGGGACAGGGCTGGCTGCTGTAGGAATGACTGCAGGAAACTTCCTTGGGGCAAACACAGCCAGAGGCAAAAGGCAGAAGGTTGGAAGTCTCTGGCTATGCCCCAGCTCTTGCAGAGACAAACCATAGGTCAAAGCAAGCCAGTGGCTGAATTGTGTCAATGTTGCACAAGAAAAGGTAAATGATAGAGGTGTATAAATGAGGAATGTGAAGCAGTAATCCTTCTGCTTCACTCCCTTGCAATATCCTGTTTAATTCTGAGCACTACATTATAAGCAGCCCAGAGAATAACAGTGATGATGGGAAGTCTGGAAGATCTGAACCAGAAGAGTGAAACCACAGGTCTGATCCTGAAAAGGAAAAGTCCAAGCTGAGATGGGGCCTGTTTTCAAGCAGGCACATGCCTGCTGAATCTAATCTCCAGATGTGTTTTGGATAAGACAGGAATGAATGGACTCATATTATAGAAAAGAAGATTTAGTAAAGATTAGGAAAATCTTTGCTATCATATAAATCTCTATATTGCCTGGACAAGTTATCCAGTTAACATCACTGACAGTCTTTAGGACTGGGTTACATACATGTCTATGAAAAAGAACAGAAGGATTTAAGATGCTTGTTTGAGGACTGTTTCAGCTGTGAGTGAAAGATTTGGTTTTGATATGAAAATAAAAAAAATTTAATCAGTTTTAATTATTCACAAACCTGCAAAAATATTCTTACTAGCTGAACCCCATCTAGTATGGCATCTGTGATATGTGCCAGATGCCCTAATGTCATTTCTCTGTAAATGAAAGTTGAACCCAGACTCAGCTCCCTGCTTGGGATATTGCTAGACTGCGGAAAGAGAACTGAATTGTATTATGTAGCTGAAGTATTATTATTGAAAAATCATAAAATTTTCACAATGTGGTGAACCAAATTACAGGTGGTTTTAATTTCCTCACTGTGGTCAAGAATGGGCTGTCCAGACAGGTAGTGGGGTCAAGAAACCACTGGATATGGTACTTAGTGCCATGGTCTCATTGATGTGGTGGTGTTCAATTAAACTTTGGACTCAATAATCTTGTGCTTTTTTCCAGATTGGTCTGTTGTGGGCACAGAAAACTCTGACAGAAGCATAGAGCTAAATGTATGGGAGTTTGAGCATGGCAAAGGTTTAAAATCCTAGAGTTAAAAAGAAAAAAATTAACTAAAAATAAGTACATAGAAAGTGATCTGCAGGAATCACACTCCTCAGAACCTTACAACTACTAATTTCATCTTATTAAAAAATAAAGAGGCCTGAAAGATGCTTCCTTGATCTGCAAAGAGCAAACTCTCTATTGCTGCTGGATCTCTTGGAACTTCAGAAAGAACAAACAACCCCCCAGTATGAATATTCTTCTTAAATGCCTGCCTACTGATGAACGTAATGGGAATGTTTAGTTTGGCAGTGATAGATAAGGTCCTTTTGCTCCACAAGACATCTTGAATAACCAGAGGACATCAGTCACCCACTCGTGGCACGTTTTCACCATGGACTGACACGGGACTGAGATCCTGAGTCTCCAGGAGTGACTTTGTGACTTCTTCAACAGCCTCTACTTTCCGCTTAAACCCCAAATTCCCCTGCAGCCTTATGGCAGCAGGGGATTACTTTATTTTGCCCATTCGGTTTCTATAAGACAGTTGGAATAGCATCACCGTGTGTTTTTATACTTTAATACATCTTTAGGAAGTGGAAACGAGAAGCCAGGAGCACTTCCCAGCTCCCCTTCCCACCACGAGGCTCCGTGTGGCTGCTCTGCCCTCTGCCGGAGCTGCTCAACAGGGAAGGGAATGAGGCTGGAGAAACCCTTGGAATTTGGGATCGGAAAAAGCCCGGAATTGTTTGGCACTGTGCCCAGGCTCAGCTCCCGAGGCCGGGGCTCCGCCAACCTCCCTTAAGAGCCACGTCCTGTGTGCCCGCAGGACGGCAGCCACGGCCCGCGAACGCCCGCAAAGAGCTGTAGAACCACAGGATTATCCTGGAATTGTGATTACAGTGACCTCTGGAGATCACCCTGTCCAACGCCCTGCCCAGGCAGGGTCACCTGCAGCAGGTGACACAGGAGCGTGTCCCACTGGGTTGGAATGTCCCCGGAGAGGGAGACTCCAGCCCCTCCCTGGGCAGCTGTTCAGGGCTCTGCCGCCCTCAGTGTGCAGAAATTCTTCCTCAGGCTGAGATTCTTGTGTTTAGTTTATGGCCAGTGCTCCTCGTCCTGTAACTGGAAAGTCTGGCACCATTCTCTTTGCACCCCTTGAGATACTTACATGCATTAATGAGATTCCCTCGCAGTCTTCTCTAGACTAAAGAGATACACACTGCAGAAGTCCGTCCATCATCCATCCATTCATCCACCCATCCATCCATCCATCCATCCATCCATCCATCCATCCATCCATCCACCCATCCATCCACCCACCCACCCATCCATCCATCCATCCATCCATCCATCCATCCATCCATCCTGCCGTGAAAGCAGGCTTTGCGGGGCACCTTGTGCCAAAAGAGCACCCTCTCCTCCCTGCAGGCTGGATGATCCTCCATCCCCCCTCGAGCCCCCCCACACAGCGCGTCCCTCGCTGTCCCCCCCGGCGTCTCCCCGCCGCTCTCCCCACACGCATGCACGGCAGCGGAGGACTACATTTCCCGGCATGCCCCAGGGGGGCGGTCCGCGAACGTGGCGGGGCGCGGCGGGAGAGAGGAGGGGAGCGGGACAGGGACAGAGACACGGCCATGGATGGGGGCGAGGGGCGGCCGCAGCCCCACCTGGCCGCGTTGGTGCTGGCGCGGGGCGGCAGCAAAGGGATCCCGCTGAAGAACATCAAGCTGCTGGCGGGGGTGCCGCTCATCGGCTGGGTGCTGCGCGCCGCCATCGATGCCGGCGTCTTCCACAGGTGCGCATGCGCCGGCCACCCTGCGCCTCCCCAGCCCCCGGCGGGTTCGGGTTTGGGATGGACGGGCCGGGGGGCTCTGGTTCGGGATGGACGGGCCGGGGGACCCTGGCCCAGGGAGAGGCTGGGGAAAGCTGCTGCTTCGTCAAGAGGCTCTTAGGGATGACTGTCAGTGTCTGCAGGGAGGGTTCAGAGCAGGGACCTGGCTCTGCTCCGTCGGGCCCAGCAATGGGACAGGAGAAGGGTCAGGAACTAATGCCCAGCAAGTTCCACCTGGACAGTAGGAAGAGCTTCTTTACTGGAACAGGCTGCCCTGGGAGGGTGCGGAGTCTCCCTTGGAGATACTCAAAAGCTGCCAGGATGGAATCCTGTGCAACCTGCTGGAGCAGGGAGGTGGGAGCAGCTGACCCGCTGTGGTCCCTTCCAGCCCGACCCATGCTGTGACTCTGCCACTGAGGCAGGATTGATCCTCACTTGGGACAAGGGGGTGCAGTTACTGTGGCACCAGGTTAAGGGTCAGGCAGGGCAAGCACCCTGTCAAGAACTCAGCTGTTCCTTCTGCTGAGGGTGAGCAGCAGAGGAATGGAGAAATTAAAGTCTTACACAGTAAATTGAAATTAAAGTTTTTCTGATGTGTGGTTTGGTGGCCACGAGCTGGTGATGTTGTAAATATTGATGGGTTTACTTCATTAAGACATCTGCATTAAATGGGACTGCCGGGCTGGAGGTGATCTCCTGTGAACTGCTGAAGCGCAGGATGACTTTGGTTTGTTGTCGCCTGAGTACTCAGGACAGCGTGCGCTGAGCCATCTCCAAGGATGGAGATCCCACAGCCCTTCTGTTCCTTTCACTGTGCTCACCCAGAAAAATTTTCCTTATTTCCTCTCTCCCTGCCCAGCAGTGAAATCACCTCCTTGCTGAGATGTCTCTTTCAGCATCTCCGGGCATATGTGTGCTCCCAGGCCCAGTCATCGTGCTGGCTCCTGCTGAGCTTGCTCCCATTTTTCTTTTTTGGTATCAGGCAGCCCACAGCTGGACCCAGCACATCAGAAGCAGTCTCACTCAAATGTCAAGTTAAAGGAGATAATCTTTTGTGCCCATGTGACACAGAAGAGAAGCCCAGTTTGTGGCCAAGTGCCTGAAACTTCAGAAGCAATAATTAGAGCTAGATAGAAACATGTGTGTTGTTGGTGTTGAGAATAGAGGCATTACAGATTTCTCTGCAGGAGCAAGACTGAGGATTTTCTACACATTTGCTGGTAATTGAAGCCATGGTTAGGATGTGCTCGGTGTGTAGCACTCTTAGGGGCAGGTTCCCAGTGCAAACCTGCTGCATAATGCTCAGAACAAGTCGAGGAGAAATGTAGCACAGCTAGATCCAGAGCACTGTATCTCATAGCTGCTCTGTCATTACCTGGCCTGGAAAACCTTTCTTGGTGTATCTGAAAAGTAGAGGATGCAGCACTCTGTTTAATTTTTAATAAAAAAACAGACAAGAACATTTCTGGTTACTGAGGTTACTGATAATTTCTTAATGACTGTGAATCTGTACTGCTGAATGACCTGCTGTGGCTTCTCTTTGGCATCTGAATTTTCCCAACAGGAAGCCAGTCAGGGTTGTGCAGCCTGACTTTGAGGCATGGCAGGTGCAGTAGGTGGACATGCACCAGGTTTGCCTTGTCACCTATGGAACAGCTGTGCAAGGTACCTGTTACACAGCAGAACTCTCGTGGTTGAATGGAGAATGTGTATTTAAGTTCACCATCCCAAAGCAGTTTCTGGAAAACGCCTCTTGTGTGTTTGTTCTCGGGGTGTGACTTGACATTGCTGTTGCTATCACACATATTTTTCTGCTGATGATCCCACAATGTCTTTGGGGGAAGAAATGTAACTGCAGCACCATTTGCTTTGGACAGTGCATTGAGAATGCCACATTGCTGGGAGAGGAAGGGTGACTTTTCATAGCTTTTGTTTTTATACCTCTCATGCTTTTTTGTCATCACGATGACAGCAGTGGCTTCACACTTGCTCAGTGTTTGTCATCACATGATACTCAGAATTAGCCCTTCCTTTTGTAAATGTTTATTTTCCCTGAACGATTGCAATCTTGCTTTACCAGTGCTGGAAGTTTTCTGTGCCAAAACATATGGAACTTGAACAGCTCCTTCTCTGGGAGTGTATGGAGCCCAATTAACACATTTTAACACACTTGCAGCATAAGCTAATCTTTTAACTTTGTGGCAGTTTTACTTGTAAACTAAACTCTTACATGATTCTGAATGCCACATCCAACGCATTTACAATTCGTAGGATTGTTAACATGCCTAACAAATTCTTTGTGCTGACACTGGATTTTTCTGGTAACACTTCTACATTTTATGCTGCTTAAGCTTCCTGCATGAAATGCAACTCAAGATTCAGATTTTACACTCTGGTGTTTTTTTATCCCCATTGTTAAAAGCTGCTGGTTGGACTGACTGGGATAGTTTTATTAATACAAACACAAGAATTAGTTCCTTCTATTGCAAGTTTTAGTACAGACATAAACAAGTTGGGGTTTTTTTCAGGTTAAATTGCAACAGGCAAGTCAATAATGATTTATTCTTTATATTAATTTCTGTCACTGTCTGCCAACAGCATATGGGTTTCCACAGACCACGATGAGATCGAGAAGGTTGCGAAGCAGTTTGGTGCTCAGGTCCATCGCAGGAGCCCCGAAGTCTCTCAAGACTCCTCCACTTCCCTAGAAGCCATCACAGAGTTTCTCAATCATCATCATGGTAAATCAGGAGTGAAATATGCTGAGCTTTTATATGGTAGCCCCAGAGGGACGATGCACTTAGTATTAGAAAAATAAGTAAAGTAAAGCGCTGAGTAAGTAAAAACCAGAAAGATTCAGATTCTCCTTTTTTTTTTTTTTTTTGGTGTGTGGTACTTACTCATACCATACTTTGCAGTTGTGTGTTAGCAAAGATGTGCATTGTTTCATAAATGTCTCTTTGTTTTTCTTTAGAGGTTGACATTGTAGGAAATATTCAAGCAACATCTCCCTGTTTACATCCCAGTGACCTTATAAAAGTGGCAGATATGATCCAGAAGGAGGGCTTTGATTCTGTCTTCTCTGTTGTGAGGAGGCATCAATTCAGATGGAGTGAGGTAAAGAAAGGAGGTAATGTTTAGATGTTTCTGGTTACAGTTATACTTCACTTTTTCTTTCCAAAATCTTGCTTTTCGTACCTATCCTATTCCAGGAAGTGATGTCTGAAGCATAGACTGAATTCTCTCCAAGAGATTTGAGATGGCTTAAAAATTCCTTCCAAGCACTGGTGTCTTGATATTACTGAGCATTGCTCAGCCTTTCTGTAACTGTTTTGTAGAAATTAAAGTTATATTAAAAATATATTAGCTTGTCTAAGCTGAAGATACAGTTCCAGAAAAAACCTTACATGTTAACTTCTTCCTAGAGGATATTTATGGGTATTCAGACACTACTCTGAGGTCCTAACTACAAAACTGTTTGTTCTTGCTATGCAGTAGCTGACAAATGACAAAAATGTGAGATAAAATCTTGGTGAGAATGGGATGACAATCTTTTGGCCTGCAGACTTAGGTTTTGTTTCATCCTGATAATTTGGCTGCTGACTTATGTCACGTTGCAAAATGCCTTTGAGTCATGAGTGCTGAACTCATGTTGGTTAGCTCATCCAGAAAAATGTGACTGGTTTTTCCCAGAGAAAATATGGCCCTTAGCTACAGTGGCCAAGGTGCCCAAAGATTGACATTTTACAAATAAAATTGCACCTTGGTTTAGCTATAAAGCACTTTTTGTCCTGGTACAAAGAGCTATTCCGCACATTTTGTATGTTGGCTTTGTTTCTGTGGTTAAAGCAGAAATGTTTTCATTTTTTAAAAATGGCTATTTCAGGTATTCTCACACTGGAGTTTTGTTTGTTTTTTTTTTTTTTTTTAATTAAAGTTACTCAGGCATTACAGTTATTTTGTTGAGATATAAATTGCTTCAGATGAAATTTTTCTGAGAGTTTAGAAATCATCATGCTGTAAAAGAGCATGTGTGATAAATGAGGCTTGATCTTAGAGATAAGATAAAATAAAAGTTAACCTTTGTTTAGAATAAACACTTGAACATTGTCATTGTTCCCCATAAGAGGAGAAATAAGTGATGCTTTTTGTTTGTGCAGTATAAGAGGAATATCAAAAGCATGGGTGGCAGTTTCAGGATTCTGTGGACTGCAGTTTAGCAAGCCACATGCACATCTTGAGATGCTGGAAGGGACAGATGTGAAAGAATGAATCTCATGTGGATCTGCCATGTGGGTTCCTGCAGTGCTTGTGTCCCAGAGGCAGATTGTTAAATAAGGAAGCCTCGAGGCCTACCTAAAAAAAGAAGTAATTCTTCTGCACAAAATGAGATCCTAACCTTTTTAATGTGGTGAGAGATAAGGAATTATTCAGCTGCAAGGACTGAGGAGAGCTGGAAACACATTGTGCCAGCATGAGCAGCTTAAGGATAAATGCAAATGGCCTTTAGGGTGTGAGGTGTTTCAGGTGACAGTGATTCACAGCAGCATTATACAATGGTTTTTCTTCTTTTTATTTTTCCATACAGCTTTAGAGTACTGATTATGCTAAAAGAATTTAATGTTTTGGGTTTTTTTTGTGTAGCTCTGTTGTTCCTTCTGCATTAAGGTTTAATATTGATAGACCCTGAAAGAGAAAGATGTCTCTCTGTGACTGGAAATGTTTACTTCGGTGAGCACAAAGCTTTAGCTGGTTATGAAACACAAGGGATGTGTGTATCTACTAAAGCCTCAGGATGTTTTGGGTGTTTGAGAATGCCCTCTAACTTTCTTGTGGTTACTGGATCACGAGACCTGGTGAATTTTAGCTTCTTTGTACATCTGGATTGAAGGGGCTTGAGGGCAAAAGTCACTGGTACTTGATTTGGTTTCTGGTGCATGTACAATTGTCATTGGTAATAATGTGGGATCTTTTGGGATGGTGTTTGTGCAGACAGCTGTTTGTTTATTTGTGGACACTTATGAAGAGTTAATGCATATCCTTAAATAGGATGTATTTTGGGGAAGTCCCAAGATGTTTTCACAGGCAAAAATTATTCACATATGCTCTTTTTTCACCTTCCAGATTTCAGGCTGGCCCTTTCAGGTATCAGAGTGCATTCAGGCATTCCCACATGCAATAAGAGTTGGAGTACAGGGATAGTATTTATTTCATATTGGCAAGGACAGTCTGGTAGAATGTCCCTCCTACTCCTTGTGGGAATGAGTTTTGAAGCAAATAACCTCTTGGGTTTTTGTTGTTGTTTCTGTTTGGTTGGTTTGGGGTTTTTTTTCTAAAGTGGTAATGAAAAGTTTCCTTTTTCACTGCTAGACATACAGAATAGTCCTCCAATTTATCCACAGTTCCAAAAAGAGAAGCAATTCAGTGATTCCCCAGAGAAGTTGTGGATTTTGTATCCCTAGAAGTGTTCCAGACCAGGCTGGATGGGGCTCTTAGCAACCTAGGATGGTGAAGGTGTCCCCTGCCCATGGCAAGGGGTAGGAACTGGATCATCTTTAACATCCCTTCCAACTCAAATCAGTCTATGATTCTTTATAAAGTTAAGCAGAAGGAGGCAATAATGACAGAAGTTGGTGACTGAATTATACCCTTAATTTTTCAACAGAAAGTTATTTAGGTTGTTAAGTGACTCTGAACAGGAATTATTTAAAGCTTTTGTAATTGTTTTCCTCTGTTAACAGAAAACAAGATGACAGAACCCCAAAACCTGAATCCAGCAAAGCGGTACCGGAGGCAGGACTGGCCTGGGGAGCTCTATGAAAATGGCTCGTTTTATTTTGCCAAGAGGCATCTGATTGAGAAAGGCTACTTGCAGGTTAGTGCTTCTGGTTTTTCATGCTCTTCAGAATAATACATCTACTCTTGCTGTAGAGGGTTCTGAATTCAATACTCTGTTTTGATTTCTGATGTAGTCAGTGTGAAATAACAGCATTCTGACCTCAGAACAGTTTGCTAATTATTTGTAACTTAGCAGAGCTAGTTATAGCTAGGGCAGTTCCAGTAAACAGCATCCTCCATAGCAAATAAATTTATGCAAATAAATGTTTTTTATAGCTTTAACCTTAAACCAATACAATAGTGAGTTGAGTTTTGCAGGAGTTCACCAGTGTATCTTAGAATTCATTTTAGTGCCACTAAAAGTGTGAACCTGAGCTTCATGCAGTGTCAGAGCCTTGTCATAATCTGCAAATTTCTATATTCAGCCAGTTTCATCTTATGCCAATTTTTGTACTGTAACTTTAACAGTCTTTTTCCCTTTCCTGATGTTTACATCCCAATGTAGTGGTGCAGAACAACACTGTGGTGTGGTGGATATATTTCCCTTGGAAATTAAGTAACAGTAAGCGAATAACAAAATAGTCTTCCTAAGCAAATGCTCAAGGTATTACTATTTTGCTGATTAAAAGAGCTAGTGAAATTATTGTGATGTAACTGCTATAATGCACAACATCTTGCACACTTTCTCTAGTTGTAAAATGGAAATAGTTATTAACTATTTCTTCAGTAGTTACTAACTGTTCCTTCAAATGGTTCTGTGTCACTGGCAAAAACATAATTGATGGTTCACTTTTATATAGGCCGTGGTGGCCACTCTGTAACCAAAGGCACTTGGCTTTCATTGCATGGTGCTAAATTGTAGAGTTTTGTGTTTGTGTTGACCCAAGCATAAAATTTGAGTGGATTTTATTTCCTTCAGGGTGGTAAAATGGCCTACTATGAAATGCGTGCAGAGCACAGTGTGGATATTGACATAGACATTGACTGGCCTATTGCAGAGCAGAGAGTGTTGAGGTAAAAGCACTTTTTATTCCCTTATTTCTTTGATGCTGCTTGCTTCAAAGTGTGGTCATGTGAATTCATAATGCATGGAATGTAAGCAATGGAGATCAAAGATAATTGGGCAGCTTTATTTCTGCCCAGGATTTTTTCCTTTCTCCGTTGAAATCAACTGAATTACCTTTGTTACATGGTGGGATTTTGGTAGTTTGATTTTTTCCTTAAAGTTCAGCTTGGGGAAGAGTGTAAGCCCTACTATACCTCAGCAATGTGTTAGCATCATCTCTGGCTTTCCCAGCTGAGGTGCCCCAGATTTCCATGCTGCAGACCACTATAACTAATGCCTGGGAATGGAAATGTTTGTGTAGAGGGCATGAGCTGATTCCACCTCACCACTGCCTTTTCTTTGCAGCTGCTCTAAGGAAATAATGGGTGGGAATGGAGTATGTTTTCTGTGCCTTTTTCATCCTAATTTTTAAATGGATGACATAAATAAGCTGTCTTTTGGATAGTTCTGTTTGGTTCTTTGGAGAGGGACAATATAGTTGGAGAGTGATGATGATGAGAAAAAAAATTAGAAAAGAACAATTTCAAAGCTGATTCTTCTGTCTGAAGGTTACAGTTGTATGGGAAATACTTGGGGTTTTGAAGTGTGCAAAAACTTCTATCCTAAAATGATAATTTCTTTGTCTAGCTTTGGATATTTTGGCAAAGAGCCACTAAAAGAGGTGAAGCTCTTGGTTTGCAGCATTGATGGATGTCTGACCAATGGTCGCATTTATGTGACAGAAGATCACAAGGAAATGGTCTCCTACGATTACAGAGATATTGTTGGCATTGATCTGTTGAAGAAAAGAGGAATCCAGGTAAGTGCTGTTCTGAAGAGTGAGCCTTCATGTCTCATGTAACCTGCACATTAAAAGATTTTTAAAAATATATTCTTGCAGCATAGAAGTTGAAGTTTCTTCACAGTGCTTGTGGTCAAGCAGCATAATATATTGGTTGGGACAAATGTTATCCTCAGAACCCCCAGAGGAAAATAAGTGTTTTGAGAAAGTTCTCAATCACAGTAATTACAGCATCTCTCTCCATTTCACAGAATCAGAGAATGGCTGGGTTGAACCACCTTGTTCCATCCCCCTGCCATGGGCAGGGACACCTTCCACTATCCCAGGTTGCTCAGAGCCCCATCCAGCCTGGCCTTGGACACTGCCAGGGATCCAGGGGCAGCCACAGCTGCTCTGGGCACCCTGTGCCAGGGCCTCACCACCCTCACAGGGCACAATTTCTTCCTTATATCCAGTCTAACCCTCCCCTCTGACACTTTGGAGCCATTGCCCCTTGTCCTGTCACTCCAGGCTCTCGTCAAGAGTCTCTCTCCATCTTTCCTGTGGGCTCCCTGCAGACACTGGGAGGCCACAGTGAGGTCACCCCAGAGCCCACTCCCGTGAAATGGAGTAGATGTTTTTTCAGCAGTCCCTCAGCTTCATTTTCTAGAAAGCCAGAGGGGTAGGAAGCTTGTAATCACTTTTTGTTGCCTGTTGGAGCCTATTTCCATACCTTCTTTGACTTGGAATGTTTCATTGAAAATCTCTAGGCCTTTGTGCTGCACTTTATTTATTTTTTGTATATGTTGCTGATACAATCCTGCCTTTTGCTCCTCTTCTCTTCATTCTGTACTTAAAATGAGTGTCAAGCATTCGTTTGTATTTAAAAGCAATCAGGGAAGATAAGCTTGTCTACATCTTTGACAGAAAACCTGAAGGATTTGCATCTGAGATTTCTAAAAATCCTGCTGCAATTATCTTCTGGTTTTAGCTTACCTTGTGCACCATTCCTGAAATTTCGAATTTGAAATGAACTTCCAGAGATAATGTGCTGTGCTGCTTCAGTCTGTGTAGTGTTGCTTTGGTGCTCTGAAATGGTGCTATAAATAAAGTTATGTTATTAAGTAGAGGGGCCAGGGAAAATCTTCATGTTCTACTTTGGCAAATATTTCAGAAATCTTTCTTGGAAATTCTCTCATTCCACATTGTGACTTAATTAGATCATACTACACTAGACAGTCACCATGCAACCATACTGTGATATTTAGAATTTTATTTAGTACATGTTGCATTTAAAAAGACAAATGTAAATTATTTTTGAACATCAGGGAGGGCTGCAGAAAGGTATTTCACCTTCCTAAAGGAACCTCAAGGCTCTGGTTTTGGAAGCTAATCACTTCTGCTCTGAGTTTTGAAAATCAATCATTCAGTGCTTTTCCAGAGAGCTTCTACTAGCAAAATTTGCCTTTTTTTTTTTTTTTGAATAGTAAATCAACTTATATGTCATATTTCTTTGGTGTAGAACTTATTCTAATTTTATTTCTATAGGTCCGACTCATCTCTGACAGGGATTGTTCAAAAACACTGTCAGCCATGCAGCTGGGATGTGTAGCCAAAGTCAGTGTAACAAATAAACTACAGGTTCTGAAGGACTGGCAGGAGGACATGGGTTTGAGCTGGAAAGAGGTGGCTTACTTAGGTCAGTTCCTTTTCTTTGGTTTATTTAATTTAAATAGCATAGACAAATGGAATCATTGTACTGCTGCTGAGCTTCAAACCACTTTTCTCTTTGTAAATATACTGAATTTAATGGGATTGCTGTGCACATTGCAGCACATGCTCACCAAAAGTAGGTATTTCAAGGCCTGTTAGGGTACAATCTAAATGTTATAGACAGTGATGAATTTGTGTAATTTGGTAAGGGAAGTCTTCACTGTTTTTCCAGTGGAATATAGGAAAGCTTTTGTTTTTAGGAAACATTTTGATATCAAAATGTTGATAAGTATACACTTTGAGCTGACAGTTTTGAACTCATTGTAGTTGATTTCAGGGGGCTATTGTATAGATTATGTTCTGAAATGGTAATCAGAAATGGACAGAATTAGAACTGAAAGCCATGTGCTTCTGTGCGAAACTGTATTTCAGAGACAGGCTAAGTGAGGAGTCCTGCCAATGCTTATTCAGCTGCTCACATAATTTTACTGCTCTTAAAAGTAGCATTCTCTTGCCTGAAGATTGTGAATTGTGATCATCATTTATATGGATCGCCATCATTTTACAACACCTGACTTGCATGTGCAAACTGCTGTTGAGCTGCTGAGATGAACATTGTGACCAAAAAAAAAAAAAATTCAAAAATCAGATCACTGCATACCCAGAGAAACACTGAGAAAAATACTGATTCTTTCCCTTGTGTGATATTTGGCCTTGCCTGTCATCTTCCTCCCCAGGAAATGAGGAGTCTGACGTGGAGTGCCTGAAGCAGGCAGGCATGAGTGCTGTGCCTGCTGATGCCTGTGCTGCTGCCCAGAAGGCTGCTGGTTACATCTGTAAGAGCAGAGGTGGCTGCGGAGCTGTGCGCGAGTTTGCAGAACACATTTTCCTGCTCTTAGAGAAAGTGAACTCTGCAAGAAAGCAGCTGGAAGAAATCAGCTCAGCAGGGGAGAAAATGGGGAGAAATGAGAACAGCAGGAAAGGAAATAAGGAACTGATGGAAAAAGAGTAACGCCGTTGGTCAATCCTGCTTTTCTTCCTCAGTACATCCATATCCCAAAGGAATGCTTACCTTTCAAATTTTACAGCACAGTAGAGTTAAAAAGGTGTCTCCCCCTACTTGCAGGTCCCACATTTATGATTATATGCTGAAAATATGATCACATCCATGATGATTTTAAAAGCCATATAAGTGCAATGGGAGGAATGCTACAAGAGAGAGTGCCCTGTAAATCTGCTCTTAATCATCACACCTGTCCTACAGGAATGCCACCTCTTTATTTCATAATCTGAATGTTTTTAGGGATCAATGATTTTGCATGACTTGAAGATTTGTAATTCAGGTTTAAAAACCCCAAAATTTCTGTCAGTTTTGCTCATGTGGTTTGCATTTCTTTTATCAAATGCATGGCGTTGTGGTTGTGTGATTGCATTTTGCAAGCTTTGTCCTTAGCAAGGAAGAGTTTTAACATGTGCTGGAGAGGTCAGGTGTAAAATACTTATCAATAAAACTTCCTCCTCTATTTTTAAAATACAACATAGTTACTGTAAAACAAGTTAATATTCGTTTAAAAAAGCACTTTAACATGTGTTCAGTTTGAAGCTCATAAATAATTAAATCACATTTGGAATTGTGCCTCTTGGAATTTATTTTGGGTTTTATTGAAGTGCCTAAATGAATATTTTTCCAAATTTGGAGTTAAATTTCCCATTGTCTTTGAGATCTTTGCAGAAACTCAGTTTCTTTCTATGAAGACTATATTGGAACCTCAAAAGAGTTAAAGCCAAATAAAAGTCTTTAGGTTTATTGTATGGAAAAGTAGCTGCTGTTAAAGAAAAAACAAAACCAAACTATAGTTAATGTGGGTTTACATGAAATATATATACAGACTACTTTTAGCATGTTAAAACTGGTTTACATGCTTGTATTTATTGAAAACAGGAATTGTATTTTACATTACAAATACAATAGTATATATCAGGCTTAAGTTCTGGTTTGGATTATGCTAAAAAATAAAAATACCCATGGTACACTGGCAATTACAAGTGAGGTGAATGATAATGGCTTGTAATTTTATTTTGTTTCTCTGCTAAATTTTGCATTGTATAAATAGTTATACTCCCAGTATATCACCTGATATGCTGGCCTCTGATAAACTTTGTGTTTACTTCCTTTCAGAAAGCAAAATGTTGAACTGAAATGATTTACTGCCTATCTACAGTTATCAGATAAATTGTTTATTGTACTAATCAGCTCTAAGTCACCTAAATTTAAGTATCTCAGTCACGTTTTAAGGTTCTGTGCTGGATAAATCCCATGGACTTTGACAAAAGGGGAGCCACATTTTGGACATCAATGTTTTCATATTGATGAATTCATGGTATAATCTTACATTGGAAAGAATATGAAGGATAAAAGAGCTCTAAAGACTCTTTAAAAAGATAAAAAAAAGATATGGGACTCTAAAAAAAAGATATGGGATATGCAGGATGTGCTTCATAAAAGGTTCAGATTTGTATTGCCCACACTGTAGTGGAAAGTCTAATTATAGGGTAGGAGCAAGGATGCCTTAATTACTCCTCTTGATTTTACAGAAGAAGCCTCGATCATATGAAGGATTTAGGAGTCAGAGAGGCAGAGACAGTGAGGGTAACTCTGTCACCTTAGAGGTGAAATACCAAGTTCCAGGAAAGGTCCAAATGTGTAGAATATTTTCCCAAGTCCTGTTCCAGTACATGTGACACCACACTGCCTTTGATTAGAGGGGTATTACTCATTCAGAGTAGATTTCAATGGTCAGATTTGTTATTCTGGGATAATTCTGAGATCATCTTTTGGCCCTGTGAGCTCTTGTTTTTTTGCTTCAATTAACCTAGGTTATTTCAAAGAAGATCTTAGGTAATGTGGGCTATTCTGTCATGATTATGTGAAATGGAAAAACAGGAAACTATGTAAATATTTGTAGTAAGCTATTATGAAAAAGTAGCTGATTACATCAAATTTTAAATAAACAGCCTTCTTCTAAGTAGAGAATGGTTATGGGCTGGCTTGTGGTGAGTTTCTGTACTGCAAATAATACACTCCCAAGTTCATGTGCCACACAAATGATTTATGATGGCAAAGGTGGACAGATTTAGTGCCCAAATTAACCCTTCACACCTTCACCCACTTCTGACTCTCATTATTTATTTTTATCTGGTTTTTTTCCTATTCAGTTTATTTTCCTCTCCTGTTCCTGTTCAGTGATGCAACAAGTCCTGACCTTAAGTCAATTCAAATCAATATGAATCACATATATCTTTTGAAGTCAGAGATATGTTATAATACTTGCTGATTTCAAGTTTTAAAGACTTTTAAACCTTGATCACACATTTTAGGTAACCAGTTTTTCCAGAACCTATGTGGGGGAAGGTTTTTGGTTTTAATTTTTGGTCTTAAAACACTATTTACCTTTTGCAGAAATAAGTTTAAATTAGTCTAATTCCACCCAGTGGGACCAATCATTCTAATTGTTACCATTACAAGAGCAGTAATGCTGTACAGGAGAAAAATACCATTATGTGTGACCCTGATGCATAAATGGGTTAGAAAAACTTACCAGTAATACACTTGTCTGAAAAATCTTTGGATGGTGGGTTTGTTTTTCTCTCTCCTGTTCTGGGACAGGTTGGTCTATCCCCATTTCTGATTCTAGGTATGTTTATGGATGTGGCTCTGGTTTAATAGAGCATTCCCCATTCTGTGGGAGAGGCATGAAAGAGAATGAGCAGTGAGCAATGAGAAGGTAATGATACCAAATTATTCAGGTTAGCAAAGAGAGGTGAAACTGAGGAGGTGAAACTTATATAAAATAATAACTTATATAAAATAAGCTGAGCTTAACTGAAAAACAATCCTAACATAAGTGTTAAAATATCCATTTTCACAGAGCAGTTATAATTCAGAAAAGTATCTAGTGGTTTGAAGTGTGTGCTAGCAGTTGAAAAAACAGAAATTATTAGAAAAAGAATATATAGCAAATAGGATAAAAATAATCCACTGTATAATTCAGTGGTTTGTGTGTATCTTGAATACTGCATGTTTTGTTTATTTTGTGTTGAAAAGGCTGTAGCATTCCAAAGGGAGTAAATGTGGGAGGATAAAATGGATGATGTAAGACAGGAATCAGGTTCAGTCACAGCAGTAGCCAAACCAGATTTCTTCACTTTGGACTGAAGGGAGTTGTGTTAAAATATCTGTAAAATTAAAGATGGGAAGGCATGGAAAGGCCTGAGGAATATAAATTTACCATGTTGTATTTAGTGGTGCTTTCCAGTTTTTCTGTGGCCTCAGCACATTTGCAGCTCGTGGATTTCCAGAGCTGGACATGGATTACAGACATTTAATGAACCTCAGAATACTTAAAACAGGCTTGGGCCATGCATTTCATGAATCTGACACTAGATAGAGTTCTGATTCTGAACCTTGGATTCTTCTTCCTATTTCTTGTGCAGGAAATACCCAACTGCATTTTATTTCTTTTTCACACTGTATGTTAGTGGTTCATTCTATGTCAGTGTGTAGCTCTGATACAGTGAGCAGAAGAACATGGCATTACTATTATCAATAGGACTAATCTAATCTTTAAAAATTAAGGAAAATAGGGCAAAAGTACATGCAGAATTATGTAAGAGTACAGGTACCTTGGATGAATCAGTGATCATTATTATCTGTAGTTAGAGATACAGTAAATTGCTGTGGAAGTTCCCTTCCAAAATGTACTCAGGGGTTTGCAGAACATTCTGGAAAATACCATGTTTTTCCTGATTGTTCACATGCTTTGCAGACAAGTTTCTGGCCTAAATTGAAATATATCTGGACTAGTTATGACTACTCTTGTATTAAACATGGAAATAGTCTCTCCAGGGCTGTAACTTTTATCTGAAGGTATAGCTGCACACCTATTTATGGCTAGTACAGTGGGTACAGTAGCCTGTTTATGGCTACTACAGTAGCAGTAATCCATGTAGGATTTTGTTTTTACTGTTCCACCTTTTTTTTCCTGGTTACACACTGTCCACAGCAGTTCAGACTCAGGTTGGGAGGGGATCAGTCACCACTCACTGATCCTCCTGAGCAGTGAGGCCCAGCAGAAGTGTTTCTATTCATCAGATAACGCTTGCTCTAAAAAGCTTCAAAATGGGGTGAAGTACCTCAGAATCACAGAATAAACTGAGTTAGAAGGGACTCCTCAGGATGAGGAGTCCAGTTCCTGGCCCTGCACAGACCCCCCAGCAATCCCACCCTGTGCATCCCTGAGAGCGGTGTCCAAACGCTCCTGGAGCTCTGGCAGCCTTGGGGTTGTGACCATCCCTGGGGAGCCTGGGCAGTGCCCGACACCCTCTGGGGAAGAACCTTTCCCTGATACCCACCCTGACCCTGCCCTGACACAGCTCCAGCCGTTTCCTGTGTCCTGTCCCTGGTCACCAGAGAGCGGAGATCAGGGCCTGCCCCTCCCCTTCCTTCACGAGGCTGCAGCGAGGCCTCCCCTCAGTCTCCTCCAGCTGAACAGAACCAAGTGGCCTCAGCTTCTCCTCATTCCCCTCACGGCCCTTTACCCGATTTAGACCAATATAAAACACTCCCATTCATGTCACTTAATGAACTTTTAAGTTTTCCTGAATATATTTATCATGATCTACCTTTGGATCAATTCCATTCTCTGAATGCTGCCTCTTAAAGGACCTTAAGGAGCTACACTTATCTCCGCCTGGAGTCTGAACTGATTTTATGGGCAGTAGTTCTGATAACTCACAAACAGGTCCTGGTCTTGGCTTGCCACATCAGTGTATCAACACTTGGAGCACTTTGCTCAAACAAAGAGGTTTTAAGGGGATTTGGGGGTAAACTTGCAGGCAGTACATGGCAATGTAGAGAGCAAACTGGAGCAGTGCCCTGCGGTGCCTCTGAACTGCTGCCCCTGCTAGGCTGCTGTCATTGGTGTCAGAGCTTGGGTAGCACAGAGACACCAGAGACACATGGCCTAGCTCTGATTAAGCCCTGCCGAACCTTTTTCTTTTTCTTATTCTTTTTCCTTCTTTTTTTTTTTTTTTTTTTTTTTTTTGTTAATTTTAACCTATGTAAATCCTTTATTTGGCCAGTAGGCCATGCTGTAAACTGATTCATTCCTCATCCCCCCAAAGCAGCTAGGGAGCTAACTCTACTTTGAGCAGCACACTGTTACCTCCCTGGCTGGTGGGTAGGTTTAAGTAGTTGAGCAAGCTTACCTTGATCCACAAGGCAAGTCCTTATCCTGTCCCTTCACACACAGTTCCACGTTGTATGATGTTGATATAAACAATCCTTTTTCTGTGTGCATACAGTATGTGGTACAAACACTGCTTACAGCAGTCTTAGTGCAGCTAAACTCACTTGCAAACCTCATTTCCCCAAGGACCCTCTGGCTTTTTTTCCCATACTCAAATGGCCAGAAAAAAATAAGTCTCTAAGTAAAATGTTCAATTATTTTCGTCAGCTGATCTCTTGCCACTTATTAATAGGGGAAGAACAACACCTGAAAGGAGGGCAACAGTGGCATTCTAGGGGAAGAGTGAGTGATTTTAATGTCAGAAGAGTAAAGTAACACATCAAATGGTTATCTGTATAGAGCAGGGCATCATCTCCCTCAGGTTGTGTTGAGTTGGTAAATGGCAAAGGACTGCACACAGGCTTTTCTCCCGCTCTCCTCGGCACCATAACTTCTGTGTCTTTGTGCAGGTGCAGAATCAGTAGGTGTTGATGCCAGCTTGCACAAAGCAGGTATGAAGTGGCTGCCTGGCAAGTGTGAAGTGTGTGGCTGGAGGGAGATGAGTATTGATGAAACAAGGTTGTTTCTGTACCTCAGAAACAACACACCCAGGAGAGGAGCTTCTCTCACACACAGGAACTGTGTTCTGTCTTGAAGCTGTGTGGCTTGGTAGAACACTCCCTGAGAGGTGGACACAGACAGCTGATTCTTGGAAAATCTGTTTATCAGGGCAGAGTAAATAAATAAGTGCTGTTTGGATTAAGCTGTCTCAGACCTGTGGTTTGGTTTTGTTGCTCAAGGAGTGGGAAGTAAAATACTTCTCATCAAAACACTGGAAACAGGAATTTTGCAGGAAGAAAATCAAATGGAAAATAAACACATTTACAGTTGCTCAACATGTGGTGCTGAAATTTATTTGGATTTGTATCAGTTGCATTTAAAACACAAAGACTCTCTGGTACCTAATCCAGAAATAAGTTACATCAAAGAACTATATAGTGTTAGAAAAGAAAAGGAAAAAAAGAAACACTTTTGTAAACAAACTTCAGATCTTCAAATGCTGTAGTTTTCAACTTAAATATCAATACCAATGTCCAATAAGACAGGCACTTCCAAATCATGGTCTATTGCAGAAGGAGCAAGTCTGGGGTCAAATTTTTGGTAATTTTCTTATGATGTGTTTTTAGATTTCTTATACATTCAGTTTCTTGCAAGTTTGTCACTTGTTTTTCTCTTCATATTATCTTGGGTAAAATTCTTTATTTTCTTAGGTTTACGAAGTCTATTCATATCCCCTTGGAGCAAAGAAAATAAATAAATGATGAAGTAGATTTGGTTGTCAAACCAAGGTCTGACACCTGACTCTGAAACCACGTACACCTGCCCTCTGAGAACTCAGTTCAGCTCTGGCACTGTGTCAGAACTTTCCTGTTCTCAAGAACCCATGTTTACCCATCCTTCCTACTGGAAGAATTATAAACTCATGGGAACACCCATTCAGAACTTCCCACCAACTGGTTTGTGCATGTTTGTTGATAACTGGATATTGTTCTTCACAGGGATCAGTACTCATAGATGAAACTGTTTGCCATCTTGCTGAGTTTCATTTTCTCGTTAAATATCTCCTGAAACCTAATATTCTGCTTTGGAGTGAAGTAGTTCTTCCAATCACCAACAGCACCTAGGAAAGCAGGAACAGAAAGAAGAGTGAAGTGAGCAGTATGTGGAGCAGAAAATGATTTTAAAATAGCCTGGTTTTGTTAATGTTGCAGTTGGCACAGATAATATATTCTTAACCACAGTCACTGTGGTAGGTGAGGATCATAATTGTTCCAGTGATGCTCTGGTGGAAAGATCTGGATCATCATCCCTGAAGGTTGATGAACCCTCATCCTCAGAGCTGATTAGTGCCAGCAACACAAGTGGTGGAGAAAGAGCAGCTTTCCAAGGGGGATTTAGAGCTCCTGGTGATCTGGGCAGGTGCCATGCCTTAGCTGAGTGTAGTTAAAGGTCTCTGTCTGGGTTTTTTTCACAGTCAGTAGAAGAAATTGTAGAATCACAGAATGGCATGGGTTGGAAAGGACCTTAGGGATCATCTCATTCCATCCCCCTGCTATGGGCAGGGATGCCTTCCACTATCCCAGGTTGCTCTGAGCCTCATCCAACCTGGCCTTGGACACTGCCAGGGATCCAGGGGGTGCCGCAGCTTCTGTGGGCAACCTGTACCAGGGCCTCACCACCCTCACAGGGAGGAATTTCTCCCTCATATCCAATCTAAACCTGCTCTCTGTCAGTGTGAAGCCATTCCCCCTTGCCCTGTCACACCAGGCCCTTGTAAAGAGTCTCTCTACTAGATGGTCTTGTAAATAGTCAAAAAATTCATAGATTCATAAAACAGTTTGGGTGGGAAGGGACCTTTACAGGAAATTGTAGTCACCATCTAAATTTATTAAATGAGTGGTAGCCCAAAAGTCACTGACAAAAAAAATTCCTAGAAAAGGAGCCCAGAATGGCCTGACAAATTAATCCCACCCTTACACCTGCTCCTGATCTCTAGGAATTTTTATGGATGAGATGTCCAGCTACTTAAATGGGCAGTTGAATATTTCTGGGTGGCCATGGACACCAGTTGAAAAGTGTTTCAACTGTTACCCAGTTCAAGCAAAAAGGAAATTGTTTTATAAACTGATATATTTTTATGAGACAATGCTTACAGTTTCCCTCCATGTGCATTTTCTAAAGACTCTGCATCCCAAACCTGAATAAAATAATCTTCTCATTTTCTGACTAAAATAGCATTCAGTATGCTGTCCTAAAGGACAGGAAAAGAGAGCCCAAAGCAAAATATATACATATAACTGCTCTGTAAACTGGCTGAAACTAGCTAAACGTCTGGGATTAGCAAAGGAACTGCTTGGATGTGGAAATGTTGGGATTTCTCAACATTTTCATCATATCTATCAAGTTCACTGACTGAGAAAAATGCATCTCTTTTTTTTTGTTTGTTTCTTTTTTATTGACAGTATGTTGTCATTTGTTTTTGCTGACTGGTAAAACCATTGTGAATTAATGGAAGGTAATATTTCTCTGTTTATTAACTGAAACAACTCCTAGTTTTAAACTATCAGTTGTTGTTCAAAAATTAGCTAAATCAAAATAATTTTTAAAACCAGTGGGTTTGATTGACTTGTTATCCAAACCTGTGGAAGGTTCTGAAATGCCAGGAGCAAGAAAACAGCTCCTGAGGGTATTTTAAAATGACATCTGAACTAAGAACTGTGGAAAATTTTCCAAGGTCTGGAAGTTACCTATGACCATTCTGTTGTTGTTGTTGTTGTTGTCAGCATATTCCTTCTTCAGGAATATTTCAGTAAGATAAGGGGCGATAGGAGCAGACTCATTCAGAAGGAATGTGTCTGGCTCTTTCTTACTCTAGTTAACTAAGTGACCTTGGCAGGTGATATGAGAGACGTTGTAAAACACCGAGGTGGTCAACTTTTAGATTAAAAAAAAGACAGATAAAGAGTATTTCTGGGTGAGGCTTTCCTTTTGGCTCCACAGCTCCCACAGAGCAATATCAGTCAGGCAATAGTTCAGACTCCTCTGTGCTTCTCGAGTACAAATGTGAATTTGCAGCCAGAGAAGTTAGGAAGTCATTTTTAATAGGGATTCAGGCCGAAGAATCCTGTCATCACTTCCCAGGGCTGACCCAAAGACTCCAGGAAAGACCTGCACTGCAGTCTTTGTCGGGATTCCCACTGCTTCTCCCATGCTAGGCACAAAGGAATTTACCTTTTCGGAAAATCAGCTTCCTGTTGGATGTCAGAGCACACACGGTGTGACTGCGGTCGCTGTTCTCCTTCTCTGTGTCATTCTTCATCTCTGAGAATGAGGACTTCTTGCAGATGTCTTGGATATCATCATCGCTGACATTTAAATTCAGGAACAGAGTAATTTCCTTTACAACCTTAGGGAGATCCTGAGGTATGAGAAAAATACAGCTTTTATGTTTCTGGGCTGATTATCAGACTTTTAGCTGATTTGAAAATTATCCCTTTTATTACAAAATGAGTTTGTCACACATTTATTTGCTTTCAAGCAAAGCTAAATATGTCATTGGATTGTGCACATGACAGGTGCAGTAAGCCTGATTCCCCTCTTAGCCATACTCACAGAAATTAATAAATAAATATGTCATATCACACACAGTCACTTTGTCAATTTTATCTCCCGCTTCAGATAAAATGTTCTCCTGTCTCTCAGAATTATTTCCCTGGAAATAGAATACTCAAAGCCCAGCTCCAAGCAGCTTGTTTCATTGGACATGCTGTATCTAGAGATATAACAAGTGACTCAGCATCCAAAATGGTTTGTTTATATTCCTAGGAGTTGACATTTTTTCCTCCCAAAAAATGAACAAACCTATTTTCATGGAGACACTAGAAAATGTTTTCTATTCACCTAAGAACTTATTCTCCTAAAGCTAAGGTATGTCGACATTTTACTTATTCTTTTTTAAAAATAGTGAAGTTTTTCCCTACCCCTCCAGCCTCTAATTTTCTTTTTTATTGGGAACACAAGTCCCAAATGTGAGTAGTTCTGTTGTCTTACATCACTTTTTGAAAATTTCACCTGAAATGTCAAACATAGCAAATTAATGTGTGATCCTCAATAGATGTCCTTGGTTGGTCTTTCCATAGGACAAAAAAAGGGGAACTTAAGTTCTGCCTGAGCCTGAGGAAAATTGTCTAATATGAGTCCTATTCCTGCATCTAAGAAATGCAACTCTCACAAGATTTCATGTTTATATAACTTTTATAGTCAGAATTATTTAGTTAATACTAAATTCCATGCAAATAAAAAACATGCCCAAAGATACATATTTACATTTTCCTTCTTTCTCCTTTTTCTTTATAACTTCTTCTTTGATGTCTTAATGATGCTAATTTACAAGTAATGCCTTTTGTGCCAAGAGCAGAGAGCATATTTACCTTCTTCATGTCTTCATAGAACAAAAAGAGGATATTTTTCTCATCTTCATGTTCTTCCCAGCTTAGGAAATGATCAAACCAGGATCCACAGACAACTGAAAGGAAAACCCATGTAAAGAGATCCAGAAAATCTTTATTCATAAATAACTGTAATGCTACATCACATTTAGGGGAATAATTTGTATGTATAATCCTCTAAAACACTGGCAGTTCTTTGTGACAAGTGATGCAAATTTACAAAAGTAACTTCCAAAGAGGTTTCCACTCTTGTTGGAATTTGTTTTCATGCCAGATACTATTCTGAGATATGATTCTGTAGTGGAAGCAGGCTCCAGATCTAAGGAAAGGCCAATAATGAAGTAAAATGTACTGGCCTAACAAGATGTGAACATCTTACAGATGACTGCTGCATGTCTGTGGTCACAGAGATCTGATCACCTCATCAGGAGATGAAATGAGCAGGCTGGCAAATGGAGCACACAGTTGTTACCTCTCTTTCATCCCACAAGAAGGGAATCTGTATAATTTTTAAATGCTGAAGAAGAATTACTTAAAGAACTCATGCAAATGCCTCATTCAGCCAGTGACACAGATAGAAGGGTTTGTAGCTGATTTGTTTTGTCTGAATGCTCCTTTTGCTGAACCATGGGAACACAGCTAAATTTCAGCTCCTTTAAAAACCAAAATTCTGACCTCTCTATTTCAAAGGCAAGATGAAAACCTCTTGCAGGGCTGAGAAGAGGCTTGAACAGAGAAAGTTCAGCAAGAATTCTCCAGATCTGTGACTTTGCGTAATAACCACCACCAGCAGAAAATTCTAATTTTGTAATGGGCATCATTTTGGTCACAAACTGTGAGTTGTAATTAAGTATAAATTATAATTCATAGCTATAATTAAGCTGAATGCTCTGGTCTGGAGCCATCTCCAGCACATAAGGCAGTTTCTAAGTGCAAGGCATGTGTGCTCCACAGTGTGCAATTAGACCCTGCTCCCCTGGCCAGCTGCTCTGGGGATGTGGCCAGTGATAGCACAATCCTGGTGGCTTCAGGAGAGACTTGGAGACTCCAGGGAGTTCATTACAGTTGTCACTGTGTGTCCTAACCCTTGTTTTGAACTGATATTAACTCTGCAAGACTACTGCAGGATTTGGATCAAGCAGCACAACCTTGAAATGTTTCTCCTAGGAGAAAAAAATTACCACCTTTCCCTCCACATCACCTCTTCCCTAAATTTCTCTTTAACCAACATAGTTATCTATTTATGCCACACGTAAGCACTCGGAAAATAGAAGGTGGCTAATCATTTATGGGGAAATAGGACATGCTTTAAAATCATAGAAGCACAGAATGTTTCAGATTGGAAGGGACCTTAAAGATCATTTAGTTCCAACTCCCCTGCCATGGGCAGGGACACCTTCCACCAGAGCAGGTTGCTCAGAGCCCCATCCAGCCTGGCCTTGAATAGAATCCTCTTTCTTTTTTTTTTTTCACTATTGTATATTCAGAGTTGATACCAAACAAGCCAAGATCCTGCAAATCACTGAGGCATGTGCCTTAGGGCTGCTCTAGACTCAGAACACCAGATCTGAGCCAAAGCCTGGAGGAGGCAGTAAACAGATTGACTCCTGGAGCTCTGATGTGAGTCCATGATGACTGCAGGAGCACTTTTCTTTTGGGGTTTTCAAGGTAATCAATCATTATTGCTGTTATCATCACTGTGGTGACACATGTCCTCAAAGGAGTAATAAAACACTAAATATGGGAGTGGAAAATGTGAACAAGGTCCTGTTGCCAGCTGCCATCCCACCACTCCTGAAAAATCTTCCTCTCGTCCTTGGTCTTTGGACTCCATTTCTGAGACAGCACATCAGGGAGAGGTGTGCAGAAGGGCTATAGGAACATGTCCAGGCTTCTTTGTCGGGCTGCCCAGGGCTGTCTCCCAGCCTGGAGAAGACACCAGACCTGCAGTCACAGCTGTCCCTTCAGCCTGGTGACAGTCCCCTCACATGCTCCATCACCAGCCACAGCCCTGCTCGCCCAGGGCAGCAAAGAGCAGCAAAAACCTGCAAAGAGCTGTGCTGGAATGATGCAGCTGCTTCTCAGAATGACTCCTTGCAAGGCTGAAGAGAGCATCCTATTATTTGCTCTTGTTTAGATGGCATTAGGCTTTATCCCCACCAACCCCATATGAATAAGGAGTTCAATAAGGAGTTTTCACACTGTTCAAATTTCTTAAGTCATTCTGTGCATAACAAACTAACGTGAACTGCAAAGAGAAAACATTTAACCTTACCATTGCCTTTTAAGAACAGGTCAAAGAAAGCAGTCCAGCTGTCTACAGTGGGAAGGTTTGGGTTATCTCTGTAGTAATGAAACATGGAAACTGCAGTGTCTTTTGGATTTCTGCTGATGTAGATCATCTGCAAATGAAGAAAATGTAGTTATTAATGATAATATCCTCCCTTTATTTAAGACAAGCTCTGTGTGTAAATAGAGCATTGTCATAGGCAGTTTGCAGTGTCAAAACCCTTTCTTTTAGAATTCCTCCTTCGGTGACCATGCCATTAAATTAGAAATCTCTGCTTAGTAAGGAGTCCATAGTGATTAGCAAACAATTCCATGTGGACAGAGGTGTGTTTGCCCTGGCTGGATAATGTCTTATGTTTTATGAAAGAGCCTGTGTTAACTTTAACCTTGAGTCAGCATGTTATCTCATATATCTCACATATGAAAATATTTACTAATTAACATCCAAAGGACAGCTGCAAAATGTAAATTTTGGCCTTTTACTCAAATCAGCTTTGTCCCAAAAATCTGGATCTGAGTGATCCTGAAATTTTTTACTTTGAATATAAAATCTGAGACCCAGAGCTCATTTTTTAAATCTCCCACATTAGCATAGGAGGAACTGGTTTAGTAGGTGTCCCTGCCCATTGCATGGGGATTGGAACAAGATGATCTTTAAGGTCTTTTCCAATCCAGGTGATTCTGTGATTCTATGAACTCAAAACTGTGCTCTGAATCTGCCTCCCTCATCTCATTTCTGCTCTGTTTGCCCAACGCCTTTATGGGCTCTTCACAAAGCTCCAGCAGGAGGGTCAGAGTTCTTTTACTCCCAGAGGAGCCTGTAAGTAGCCAAGATTTTCTAAGAGAGTAGGAAATGAGGTCATGAGAACACCCCAATTACTAATGAGAGACTTTTGATCAAAAGATGTTGATGTCCTATTTTGTGTGGTGCCTGGTGTAAAAATCACCCCATGGGAGAAGTGGGGCAGGAGCAGAACTCAGTCACCAGTCCAAGTCTCTCTTCCTGCTGCTTTCACCTGGTGGTCAGCTGTGTCTCCAAAATTCACAGCAAAACACTTCTAAAACTGTGAATCATTCAAAAATTACTAAGGATCAACAGGACAAAATAGATTCCTAGTAGACTTTCTACATATTTTACTGCTTTGATATCATTTTTGCCTTACCTTGCATTTCTTATTCTTAAAATTTGGAGGCAACATGTTGTAGTCTAAGTGTGTTGGGATGATTCTCTTTGATGAGAGTTTATTCAGCTCCTCCAGTCGGGAAATGTCTCCAAGTTCAATGGGAGACGTTACTGTGACTCGAGTATCGTAAAGCTTTGTTATAACTCCTGCAAGCCAGTGAGTGCCTACAGAAGAGGAATTTTAAGTAAACAAAACAAACAATACAAAAAGGATGAATGTTTATTACTGTGAAACATACATTTTTCATACAGAAACACCTTGCCAGTGAACAAGTTCTATTTCTAATCTACAGATTCAAGAAACTTTACATGACTAAATAATCCCATTGGCTCCAAATATATAAACACTGAAAAAATTAGGGCTATATCTGAATTACAAAGTAACTCTGAGAGAAGTGTTAATATTGATACCAAAACCATTCCATCATACAAACTGCTGTCAGCTGAGAGGTGGCTAAGTTGTTTTTATAATTTATTTTAGAATAACCTGTTTGTTTGGGGTTTTTTTTCCTTACAATAACTTGAGTCTGTATATTTCTGAAAGTATTGATTGAGTCCCCCCTGCATGTGTGCTTCTCTGTCCAAGAGAGGTGGGTGGAGAGAGGATAAGAAATTAATAAATCTACAGCCAAGAGGCACACAAATAACTTCATACAATTCTCTACTTGCTCATAATTGAATGTAGAAAGTCCTCAAGAAAATCTTTCAAGTACAGATTTTGCTTACAGGTCAGGAATATATACTTGTTTTCCAACATGAAAACACCTGAGATTGTTTTCAATTACAGAATCCAAATTTTGAGAAATGACCCATATTTCTTGTAATATGAACATTTACTGACAGAATAATACATTCACATACTTAAACATCCTTTCCTGTTTCTTTCACACAGACATTTCCCAAGTAGTTTAAGCAGAGAACATGAAACACAAGATCAAGACTTCTTGCAATTAACATTGAAAATGAGAACTTACCAGATTTGGGATAGGAAACCAAAAGGACATCATCTTCTCTAGCATCAAAAGTATCCAAGGATTTTAAAAGCTCTGGAGAAGACCTGGTGGTAAAGGGAATCCCCTTAAATGTGTGCAGGAGCTCTGCCTCGCCTGAGCTGGACATGGTTGCTTAAGTCTTGTGTTCCTGCAAATCAGATAACAGGGATAGGAGGAAGATTTAAATGTCACTTCTTAGTCAGGTGGCTGGAAGTGACAAACCGAGACTGAGCAGCACAAACCTCATGCTTATATACCTTGCTGCAATGCCCTATCAGATATTGATTTGTTTTTTCAGGTAGTTGATAAAGGCAACTGAAATATTAGAGCTAACTTAATAAATAACCAAAATGCTGAGTCATAAAAAAGGCATCCCATTTATCATTTATTGGCTCTCCAGATAAAGAAATGAAGTAATGGTAAAAATTTAATTGTGAAAAATAGTGGCAATTAACATTACATTAAAATATGCTTAATATGATTATTCTGTAAGTTATATTTTGTTGGAAAATATTTTTACCTTCCAAGGAAAAAGCTGCATCTTAAAATAATGTTGATTTTTAGAGAAACAATGTCTTTTTTATGTGAATGAAATTTTTTTGTTTGTTTCATTTTATCAACTATACAACAGCTTGAAATTTCAAAAGTGCAAATTGATTCAAAGTGCTTGAATTTTGTGGGGCACAATCATTTTTTAAGATGTTATATGTCTCCATAAGGTATAAGCAATAAAAATCCAAAAATGAAAGTAGATATTTAAACAGATATATTATATAGATATTTAATGTTGCTTTTAATCCTGTGTGTTTTGTGACTGGAAGTGGTTGAAGATTTTAAAATCTTTCTACAGAATTTGCAGATTTATCAATACAAAAGTCACTTTTAGGAAAGAGCCAGTTCTCCATTAGTTATCTGTTTTCAAATGTTTGGGTTTGGTTTTTTCCATTTGAATCTGTGGAAATTATCATTAATATTTTTCAAACAGAAAACTTCACTTTTTTTTTAATGTGACCTTAAGCAACGTGAATGTATCACAGTAAAATAAATAGCTCATTTATGAACTAAAACATTTTAGAATGTTTAGTATTTTCAATTTTCCCTTCAATAGTCACAAATTAATTTACTCTTTTTTTACATTCTTTTCTTCAAAAATCCAGTGGCTTCACTATTCCTATTGAAAGATTCCTCCAATATATTCAGCCAAGGCCCTTCAATATCTTCAACTCAAAAACCTCCTTGGAAATCTTGGTTTAAAATTAAGCAATGCTCCAGGAATTTTCCAGCTCTACCAATGTTCTTTTTTTATCATCAATAACAACTTGGGTTTGGTCAGAGGAGTTCTGATTCCCAGATGTACTCCCCTGAGTCCTGGTGAGAAGTTAATAAATAGACATATCCTCCCAATAAACACCTGAGCAGCCAGGATTGCTCACAAGAAGTAAGAACACTGACTAGCTTCTGTGCTTGCTTATTTCTAATCCAATTTCCACAAAAGCCAGCAATGTAAAGTTGATTTCCCCCACCCCCCTTTCCTTTCTCAACCTCAAAGAGAAGTGATCTTCTCACCTGTAAAGTTGTCCTTAAACATTTATCACCCACAAAACATGACCTGTGCCATCAGTAAACTCGGAATTTCTCTCCTGCAGGGCCAGGTTGGGTTGAAAATCATGGAAAATACACTCTGGAAAGATGTTCCCTATTGCTAAGAATGAGAGGTGGTGGGGAATCTTTCCAGAGAATCAGTGGGGATACAAGAAACATTGGATATAGGTGCTCAGGTAGGGAATGTCCCAGAGGAGCTCAACATTTTCCTCCTGCCCCCAGGCTAAACACCTAAGCCACTGCTTCATACCTTAAGATGTGAATACTCAAAAATCTATTTCTGTCAGCAGATTTCACTTTGGTTACTTCAGGTATACAAACTATGTCCAAAGGCATAAAAACCGTGTTCCTGTGTCATTCTGAATGTGCATATTAATCTGAATTTACAGAGAGAGATATTTCCAAGGTTGATTTTGCAAGTCATCATTCCAGTTACAGGCACATAGCACAAGCTAGTAAAACTTTACTGCCTTGACCTGGCAGAAGTAATCTCATTGTAAAATGTTTTGCATATTTACCATGCTTATTCTCTTTCATTTCTTCCTGCATTCCTGCTAGTTTTGAATCAGCACATTTGCCTCATCTAATGCCTTGGACCTGAATTAATCATTCACAACAGAAACTGCTAAGGTGTAAAACAGAAGCAATACAGTAGCCAGGAAAATTCACATTCTTTTAGCTCATTTCAGTTGCTTTTTTTAGTAGCTTATCTTTTAAGTGTGTGTAATGGCAATCCAGGGGAAATTAAACTGAAATTTTTCCTCCGCAAATGCTGCCTATACTTGTAAAATAAGGCCTATCCCTGCAAAGAAACAGTATCCTGAATTGCAACAACTTAAGGAACAAGAGAATATTTGGCACTTTGCAGAAAAAAGCTATTGTTAAAACCATGCTAACTACATTGCCATAAAATACATTATTATAGCTACATTATACAAAGAGAGCACGGGTTTAAAGAAGACTATGCCAAACTCTCCATCCAAGTTTGATTTTCTTCTTTATCAATGTATGTGTGTTTATATATACATGTTATATATATACATATGATACATATATATATACATATGGTGTGTCTATATATACATGTTTACATATCTATATATGTGTAAACATGTATATATAGACACACCAGGACTACAGTACCTATTGCCTGATCTCTGCACCAGGCTCTGAGGAGCTTTTCCCAGTGCCAAGTTCTCCTTGTTCTGGTCTCTGCTGTCCATACTGACGGAGAGCATATGTCACCAGCAGGTTTCACAGGTATTTTCTTTCTGGAGAGCAGTGCCAAATTTGGATTTTGGGGATTCTTCATGATTTGAGACAAATGTAGTTGGGCAGCTGGACACTGCTTCAGTCCAGCTCTTCCTGTCTCCATGTCTGACTTACCTTCTCCCATCTAGATCCTTGTCGAGTGAGAAATTTCTTTTTAAATTACTTAAAAAATTTGACTGTTCTGTTCCTGCCTCTGCCCTGCAAGTTCCAATTCAGACTCCCCATCGTCTTTTCTGCTTGATGAAAGGCAGTACCATGTACATCTCCTTCAGCTGAAGATTTCTCAGCTGAGGCCAGCCTGTTCCCCTCCAAACCCCTCTCAGGCACCATGTACTAAAAGATATTGTGATATTGTGGAAGTATGCCGGCAAAGCCACATGTTGTTGGCACAGATGAAAATTTCGGTTTACATCCACAGGGTTCTGAGTGGTTTTAGCTAGCACTCTCAAGCATCAGGCTCCTCCTTTTTTTGAAATGTCCTAAAGCTGTGAAATATTTCAGTGTTGTGGTAATGAATGAGTGGTAAAACTGATGCAGCCAAGAACTGAAATGCCTCCAGTTCATCATTGCTCCAGGTCTGATGAGCCCACATGTCCCTAAATGACAAAAGATTTCACTTCACCCGATACACCTGGGAGTAGAATTTCACTTGAAGGGTTTCTGTGAAATCCCTATTTATTTTAATGTTACAAATGAAGTGTCTTGTCTCAGTTTATGGCTATTTAATAAAGACAGCCTGCACAATGTTGGATGCAGCACAAGTGCTCAGAGCATTTGGGAAGTTAGGGCCCTTTGGTGTCTGGATGCTGAGAATTTCGGAACCTCATCCTGGGCTTCTGTGTAGTTCTAATGAAACTCAGTTGCAGGATGGGTACAGGGCTGCCCACAACACATCAAGACTCTGCCTCAGTGTACTCTGAGCTGGTTCCAGCTATCAGGGTGTGTGACTTGGCCAAGGCTACTTTACTGGAATGGGCTGTACTGGATCCCTGTACAACTTCCAACTTCCAACAGCAGTTCTCTTCCTGGTGGAGCTTCCCTGCAGCACGTGAGTGCTCTCAGCAAAGCCTCCCCTCATTAAGCTGTATCTCAGCCCTAATGAACAGCTATGAGTTGACAGCTCTGATTTCAAAAATCTCTGCTGTCTGAGGCTCTGGAGGAAGTCAGCCCTGTGTGCCAGGCAGTGTTTATGGCATGGCAGATGATAAAGTTCCCTGACCTCCCTCCATCCTTCTTAGCACAAAGGGTTGTCCATGGACATTCTGTGCCTCGTGCACAGCTGATACAGCTAATTAGAGCTAATGACAACAGTGCCACTGCTGCCAGCAGAGCCCTGCCCTGGCAGAGGGTGGCAGGTCAGAGCCACCTCTGAGCTCAGTGCTATCTCCCCAGCTCCTGCCCTGCAGATGCACATGAGCTCACCTCTGGGGTGTGAACACACACAGAATGAGGACATGAAGGGCAGGAGGGGGACAAGAGGGCGGAAAAGGAAATCAAATGAGAATTTTAACCTACACTGGTCCAAAAAATAATGATGCTGTGTGCCTGCAGGGGGCCTAAACCAGAGGGCTTACCCTCTCCCTTGCCTGTCAGTGTGGGGTTGCCTAGTGGCATTCCTGGGAATCCAGAGAGAGAGGACAGGCCATGGAGGCCTGATTAATTTTCTGCTTATCTTTATTGGCTAATTGGCACAGAAATGAATTACAAAAACTAGTGAGTCACCCTGTAATTGCTGGTGCACAAGCAATTAAAATGGCTCTAGGAACTTCACTGGTGACTTGAAATGGTTTCAACTTCTTCTGATTTGTTAGTGTAACTGGATAGAAATATTTTGAAGCACATATGCAGTAATAGGCTAAAGTATTCTATGGGGAGCCAGAAAAATTCCAGAAAGAAAAGCCTTTTGATGTGTGTGTTTTTCAGAGATCCACACCATGTGGACTATCACTGCACACAACAAAAAGGTCTGATAGCAAATGCTATCCTGATGGTCCACACACTTCCTTTAAATTCAGCATCTAGCTGGACAAAGCTACATCTTCATATTGTCCCTGATTTCAAGGTTCTTTGAGGTCTCTCAGTCCCAAGTAATTAGGCATGAGCTGTAAAATGCTACAGGAAAATCAGGAGGTGATGATAGAGAGGAGCTGGGAAGCACCGGAAAGAAACCTGACTTTTTCCCAGCCAGCACCAGTACAGCTCAATCTTGGCCAAAACTGTTAGTCACTTCTGGATTGACAAATTAATTCCAAAGTCCAAAGGGAAGTTATTTGGCCACTATTTATAGCAGCTTTCTGTGATTTGTGATGGGAACAGCAATCAAAACCTAGGCCAGATCCAGACTGGATAAGTGAAACATAAATTTCCTGACAATTCTCTGCCTTTGTGTCATTCAGTGGCTGGGTAATATTCTGCAAAGTTTATATTTCTTCTCTCTTGTTATGAGTTGGGGTTTCTTTTATACATGCCTGTGTTGCATGAACTCCCCAGGCATAGATGTCTTAAACAGGAACACTGCACACTTGTTCTCTCTGGCAGAGCTGGGATGTAGCTCAGAACAAGGCAAGAACAAATCAGGATTCTCTGCCACACAGTATTTTAGTCTTAATATTGGACAGAGTGAAAAAAAACCTCAGCTTTTTATGGTTCGAAAGGAAGCTTTCAAACAGATGTTGTACAGCTGTCCAGCCCTTTTCCCAGGATGGAGCACAGCTCTTAACTCCTCCCATCATTTGAGATAGCATTTTGGTTTAGACTAAGAGGTACAAATGGCTCCA